GTAGGAAGGACCTAGTTATGCCATGTGCTCCTGTACATTGTCATTTTTTTATTTAATGGCTCATCGTGAATTTGATGAGATGGTGTTGTTAGCCCCATTTATTAGGTGTGAACATTGAAATTCAGAGAGGGTAAGTCATCTGCCCAAAGTTCTCAAAAAGAAAAAAAGAAAAAAGAAATTAAGATGGAACTTGAATGCTTGCCTACCGCCAACCTCCTGGGCTATTTTCACTGCACACTGCTTGCTACAAATCCAAATGCAACGTGTTTGGAAATGTGGGTTATTTTTTAAAAAGGATCCTGGTTTGTTTTTTTTTCATAACTATTAGACAAATTGAACTCCGAGGTTTTACGCTGCAACCCAAAGAGGCAGACACATGAAATAATCTGATTTCTTAGAAAAGATGTCAGTAGTGCAGTGTGGAGTGCCCAATGAAGCAGCTGGTTACATCAGAATGTTTGCCAAGTAGATCTGTCTGTCTGTCTGTCTGTCTGTCTGTCTATCTACCTACCTACCTACCTACCTACCTATCAACAAATCTCTCTTTCCCTCTTTCTCTCTTTCTCTGTCTCTCTGTATGTGTGTTTATGTGTATCCATCTGTCTCTCTGTCAAGTGATAGGTTTTGAATGTTGCTTTGAATGGCCAATTCTAATCTTCATCCATCACAGCATAAAAGAGTTTGGAAGGAGCTTTGAGTCCATTCCCAACAATTTTTCGGTAAACGGCCTGCCCAAGGTCAAGGCCATGTTGACAATAAGCTACACATCTGAGACTAGAACTTAGGCCCCTGACTGCCGTCCCCCTCCCTGCCACTGTTGTATGTTCTCACCACAGAAAACAAAGTGTGGCAATGCCTGCTCCCACTAGCTTAGTCTTCAGAAGAAGCCTCCCACTGATATATTTTTCCTATTTTTCTTGTTGCTAGAAAAACTATCAGCATAAAAGAAGTTTGCCAAGTTTCATAGTTAACCACATACATCAGTGAAACCCAGGTATGTCTTGGGTAGTAAAAGATAGTCCAAGTTCAGATAAAATACTCAATGTATTCCAAATCAGCCTCTATCTCTGAGGAGAGCCAAGATATATTTCATCCTAAAGATGCAACTTGGGGAAAATGGTGCACCAGGGGTTCAGTATACCTGGGCCTACAGAACAGCCAGCTCTGCTTGCTCCAGTAGTTTAGATAAAGCCCAAGGCATTGTACATTGTTGAGCTCATCCTCTTTCTGTGTTGTTAAGGCTCCAAATGAAAGATGGCCTTCGTGTGCTTATCTCAGAGCTGGAGACAGCGTGCACCCACTAAATAGGCAAAGGCAATGGGAGGAGTCATTCTAGGACTCAGGAGGTGCCTTCGGCTACTTCACAGTGTTCCCAAGGGGCAGTGACTACATACTGTTTCTATTAACTTCTCAAACAGTGTGCTGTTACTACAAAGGAGATGGGGCAGGATGGCATGAAAAAGGCAACCCGCAGTCCTTGTCTAACGCTATTGATGAGTGAGCCAACAACTGTAAAGGTATGAAAGATTTGGTTCAAAGAGTGGAGTTTTGAAGTCCAAACAAGTACAAGTTATTGCGGCCACTAATCTGGGTGTTTTTATTGGCAGAACGGGTTCCATAACCTGAATCTAAGTTCTCATTTCTTTTCTGTTCTTTTTCTTAAATAAAAGAACGGATTCAAATGGTACTGGCTTCTTGCCTTGGAAACAGTTGTGCAAACCACCTGCATTTGGAAATCTCAACCAGCAGGCACAGGAAGATGGCCTTAAGCCAATCGCAGTAAAGCATAGGAGGAGCCCTTGTGGCATAGTGGTTACACGTTAGGCTGCTTACCACAAGGTCAGCAGTCTGAGACCACAGGGGCTCCACGGTAAAAGGATGAGGATTTTTTGAGTTACAGTCTTGGAAACCCATAGGGGCGGTTGTACCTCGTCCTGTCGGGTCGCTGTGAGTCTGAGTTGGCTCAATGTGGCAGTGAGTTTGGTTTTTGAGTAAAGCATGCTCTTGAACAGCAGCGACCCGGAATTGATTCTGAGCAACCACGCTGATTCAGCCAGACCTAAAACAGCAACCAAAACCCACGCCATTACTATTGTGTTGACTCTCACCCCTAGGGATCAACTAGGGCAGAAAAGAACTGCCGCTTAGTGTTTCCAAGGCTGTAAATCTTTATGGAAACAGATTCTCCTATCAAGAATATGGAGTAGCTGGTGGTTCCGATCTTTCAGTCAGCAGCCATTTAACCACTGCATCACCAGGGCTCTTCACTTAAAACCCAAGGACACACATATATCAGAGACCACAGATAGCTTTTGGGTTGAGACCATATGATAAGCAAATACGAGGGGGAGGGAGGCATTGTGTGTGTGTGATACTTAAAGTATCCCATAGAAATCAAGCTGACTCAGGCTTCATAATTTTAGAGACGAAGCAACCAAGTGAACAAATCTGACTACTTTTTAAAAAATTTTATAATAGTTTTATTAGGGGCTCATATAACTCTTATCACAATCCATACATACATCAATTGTGTAAAGCACATTTGTACATTCATTGCCCTCATCATTCTCAAAACATTTGCTCTCCACTTAAGCCCCTGGCATCAGGTAATCTGATTGCTTTTAAGGAAAGAAACTACGATAGACTCTCAAGAGGCTAGTCTTCAAGATCGGTCCCAGAAACATGAGCAGATTACCATCAAGGAGGTCTTCAAGCAATAGGTATGTATTGGGTTAACCTTGCTAATGAGGAGAGATGGAAGCCCTGGTGTAACAGTGGTTAAGCATGGGGCCACTAACCTAAAGGTCTGTGATTCAAACTCACCAGCCACTTTATGGGAGAACAATGTGGGAGTCTGTTTCTGTGGAGATTTATAGCCTTGGAAACCCTGCGAGGTAGTCCTGAGCTGTGCTAATAGGATCTCTGAGTTAGAATACATGTGATGGCCATGGGGTTTGGGAACGAAAAGAGAACTAAGGGTTTGCCCAAACACTAAAACAAGCCAAGTTAAGTTGCTAACTGCTTATTTAGGAGATTAGCTATTCACTTAGGAATAGTGACTGTTATCTCCAAGGCTGAATTAAATAAAACCCATAAACACCGGCAGAGTAATGGTCCTCAAACCAGTGTTCAGCAGGACCACCTGAAGGGCTTATTGAGCCGCAGATTGTTTTATATGCTAGTCTGGGGTGAGACCAAATAATTATTTACCTGAATGACGCTGATGCTAATGGTGTGGAACACATATGGTCTTCTTATCTTCACTCTCTGCGTTGTTGACAGACACATTACATTTTTATTCATTGTGAGCCCATTGAGTTGCCAATAAGTAAGAAAACAAAAATACATTTGTAATATATTTTATGTTTACTTGTGTGGTTACTGCTATCAGTGCTCTCTATTTCCTTATTTGAATTCAGTTGTGTAATGAGCCCTCAATTCTGTCTGAAGCCTTTTCCTTAGTTTTTCTTTTTTTAAAAAGCTGTGTGTGTGTGTGTGTGTGTGTGTGTGTGTGTGTGTGTGTAAGGGGTGAAGGCTGACATAGGCTATCAGTTTTCCATTCATACACATGTGGCTTCATTTCATTCATTGTGATCCCCACAATGTAACATCACTTGTCCCACTTTGTGTTTCCTATGTCCATTCTTCCTTCTTTTCTAACAGTTCTGAGCTTTTTCCTTCAGTAAATGCTGCCCTTTTAATATTAAATGGTTGGTTATCCTAAGGTGTACGTAACACCCAAGCCAAACTCGCTGCCATTGAGTTGATGCTGACTCATTGACCCTATAGGACAGTATAGAACTGCCCCTGTGGGTTTCCAAGACTTTAACCCTTTACAAAAGTAAAATGCCTCATCTTTTTCCCTAGGAGCAGCTGGTGGCTTTGAACTGCTGACTTTGGGGCTAGCAACCCAATGTGTAACCACTATGCTACCAAGGCTCCTAAGGTGTGCATACCTCCCTAATATTGCTGTTCCCCTTATAGACCTATCTATTGTTTGGATGAAAATCGAGTTACAGAGATGAGTTCATTTCCAAGAATGAAAGATGAGTAAGGACCACAGTTTAAGGTTTCCTCCAGTCTCTATCTAAGCTGGTCTTTTTTTATGATCGTGAGTTCTGTTCTACAGTTTCCTCCCAATGTATCCAGGGTATTCTAATACAATCCCCCTCTGAGCAGTTATTAATGGTCAACTGGCACCATCTAGTTCTGGTCTCAGGGTCTTGGACCCTGATGTTTACATGGCCCATTAGTCCGTTAGACTAATTGCTTCCACGTGTCTGATTGACACTACTCTTCTTTCTCCGAGCACTTTATGTGGCTGTTCACAAGCTGTTAAGACCCCAGGTGCTACTAATTAGCAAAGTAGGATGCAGAACATTGTCTTTGTGGACTCAAGGCAACTGGCCCTAGTGTGGACACCATATTTTAAGAACCATTGTAGCAGAGCATCAGGCAGCCCTGGTTCCACGATGGTTATGCATTGGACTGTCAACTGCAAGGTCAGCAGTTCAAAACAATCCGCCATTCCTTGGGAGACAGGTGAGGCTTTCTACTCCTACAGAGAGTTACAGCCTCAGAAATTCACAAGGGTAGTCCTACCCTATCCTATAGGGTCCCTGTGAGTTGGCATCAACTCAACGGCAGGGAACCTGTATTTTGCTTTAATAGTAGAACATTAACAACATCGTCCTGGATTGGGGGAGTCCCCAACTGGTACAAATTGTGAACATGCTTGGCTGCTGAACAAAAATTTATGACTTTGGGTATACACAGAGGTGACTCGGAAGAAAAGCCTGGTGCTCTTCTTCTGAAGAATCAGCCACCGAAAACTGAGTCTGCCCTTGTAGCTAACAGTTCTGCCCCGAAACACATGAAGTGGCCGTGAGCTCATGTCAACTTGAAAGCAACTGGTTTACTGACTTTTAATCCATGTCCTTGTGACCTTTTCCACGCCCCTTCCCCCATCCCCGTTTTCTATTATAGAGAGAAAGAGAGAGATGATGATGCCAGCCCACTTCCTGCTGCTACTGCTGCTGCTCCTAGCGACCCCCAACGCAGGCCTCTCCCATAAGTTCTGCAAACCCGAGTCTATCTTCAGCTGCATCAACACAGGCCTGTCTGAAGTCAAGAAGAACCAGCTGGAGGATGAAACCTTACTGAGTAGGAGAAGCTTCCACTACCTGACTAGTCAAGATCCATCTTCAGGTACAGAGGAAGAGGAAAACCAGGACAAGGAGAAAAGGACCTTCCTGGCCTCTGGGGGTGGAAGTGTCGCTGGAAGCACCCGGTACAAATCCCTGCCCCTAGCCCAGCCCCAGGGGAAGCTGTACCAGGACAAGGCCAAGAGTGACCGGCGCACCAAATTCACTCTATCCCTCGACGTCCCCACTAATATCATGAACATCCTCTTCAACATCGCCAAGGCCAAAAACTTGCGAGCCAAGGCAGCAGCCAACGCCCACCTGATGGCGCAGATTGGGCGGAAGAAGTAGAAGTTGAGGCAAGCCATGAAGTGGGGTGGTGCATGAAGGGGGCCAAGAGGAGAGGGTGAGGGGAAACCAAGGGCTTGCCCATCCAGAGGGTTTATATTTGGGGGGATCAATACAGTTCTACAGGCTGCTTCAACTGCTGAACCCCTCTGACCTTTTCTTACCTCCAATCCAGTTTCCCTTTTGCTCTGTATATAGAAACAGAAATGCAACGTTGTTCAATATTTAAAGGTACAAAGCAGTTGCTATCTCTTCCTGCATCCCCATTCTCTTTCCTCGTGCCAAGAGGCAAAGCTCCCGCATTCCATTTCTCCAAGTCCCCTCTCTGTTGACCTTTTGGCTGAAATGAGAGAAGTCCTCTCTTTTTCAACATCAGTCCCTGACAGCGGACCTTGCTGCCATACCCCTTCCTTACCTTCTTACCTCCATTAAAACCAATGGCTTCTTGAACTCTTGGCTCGTTCTCTTCCTTTGGTCAGCTGCATTCAAATCTTGGAACTCAGAAAGGGGAAGGTGGTTACTGATGACTCAAGTCTTGATCTCAACCAGAATGGTTCTTGGGAGGTTCCAAAAGAAGAGATGAAGGGAGGTCAAGCTGGCAGTTCTGTGTTGGCTGTTGTCATGAGATCTAGCGCCACGTTGGTAGCCTGGTTCCACCTGAGGGACATAACTTGGGATCTGCTTCAGAATGAGTATCAGGTCTAAAGGGAGAGGGAGCTTGAAATTATCTCCCTCTTGATATCCCCAGCAGCTCTATGGCTGCCTGGGGCAGGAGTTACTAATTGTTTAGCAAGTCATCTCTGATGCTGCAGTAACTGGCCAGCACTCTGCTCTGTGCATGCTATAGGAGAGACAGCATGAGTCCACCTGAGTCAACAGTCTGAGTGAACCCAAAGTTTGAAACAGAAACAAATACTGTCATGAATATATGTGAAGAACTATGAAGGGATGTCAATTAGTGTCAAAACAAAACAAATATATATATATATAAAACTAATACACACATACAACACATACATGAGAGGGCTTCAAAAAGTTTATGGGAAAATGGAATTAAAACAGAGTGGAATTTTCCATATATATTTTGAATACACACACACATATATATAATCATATATATATATGGATATATGCAAAATTCCACAAAAAATGGACACTAACGGTGACTCTGATGGTGTCCTAGTGGCAAAATCTGAGGACCAAATTCCCAAGAGAGGGCAATAAACATCAGTAAAATGTCTGTGTGGTAAAACACACAAGCAGCTTCCACCACTATCACTAAAAGAAGCAGTCAGACAAATTAACGCAAATCTAGAAAAATATCTGCCACTGATATCAAAGACAAATGGTTAATCAAATAGTAAAGAACTATAAAAATTGAAAAGAAAAATAATCAAAAATATAAATATGTACACATTGTGGTAGTTACGTAATGTCATGTCAACCTGATAAATAAAATATAGAGGTGGAGTTTAGCCTGTCAATCAGGTTGTAGCTCGATGACCTCATTTGGAGGCACAACTGAGATAAATGACTCGCTGAAGGCTGGCCCCTCTCTCTCTGTGCTTCATCTCCCTGCTGGCAAGCCACTTCCTGCTAGACCCCTGGAGATGTGTCCACTGCCATTGGATCTACAAGAACTTGCAACCACCAGTCTGTGATCTCCCAGTGATGCTCCTGCATTCTGCATCACTGCATGTATCTGTGTGAGTCTGAAGAGGGACTTATGAACTAGTATCAGATTTATGGACTAACATTGGACTTGATCTAGACTGGGCTGGGATGTTTGCTTGATATAGAATTACTTCTTAATATAAATCTCTTTCTTACACATATGTATGAGTGTCACTGGATTTGTTTCTCTAGTCAACCTGGCCTAACACACACACACACACACACCCAAACCACACTCACTACTATTGAGTTGATGCCAACTCATAGCTAATCTATAACACAAGGTATTAACAATCCCTTGAGGTTTCTGAAACTTTAAATCTTTATGGGAGTAGACAGCCTTTTCTTTCTCTTGGGGAGCATCTGGTGGTTCGAACCACTGACCTTGTGATTAGCAGTTCAGTGCATAGCTCTCTACACCACCTCACTCTCACTGCAACTGAGTTGATGAGGGCACATTTTGAAACCACCAACTTCTCCGAGGGAGAAAGATGAAGCTTTTCCTCCCATAAAGAGTGACAGTCTCAGAAATCCACAGGAGATGTTCCACTCTGTCCCGTAGGTTCACTATGAGACTGTGCTACCAGGGCTCCTTAAACACACGTAGACACACAGTGCAAGTGACACTTCCATCTATGATCAGATTCTCAACTTCACTCACAATGAAAGCAAACACATTAAAATTGCACTGATACACCATTTCTTACCTATTAGATTGGCAAAGTCTGTAGGTGGGACAATGTGCTCCATTGGTGAGCGTAATCACTCTCTTCCTCTGTTGCTGACCTATCAGAGTAAAACTACCAGACAGGCAATCTGGCAACATTTGTTAAAATTACAAACTTATTTTAACTTTAACCCAGTGTGTTAGGCCAGGTTGTCTAGAGAGAAAAAAAATCCAGTGACATTCATATATGTATCAAAAAAGAGCTTTATATCAAGAAGTAATTATTTATCATGAAGGCAGCCAAATCCAGTCCAACTCAAGTCCGTAAGTCCAATGCTAGTCCTTAAATCCCTCTTCAGACCTGGGTAGCAACATGCTGGTGGTGTAGAAAGGTGAACCAGGAAGCAGGGCGTTCACGGGCCACTGGGAGCAGAGTCACGTGGATCCAGCATGAGTGGGAACATAGAAGGGTGCCAGCAGCTCTCAGGGTTAGGTGGCTCACGGCAGAGCAGAATACCAGCAGTTCTTGCTCTTATACAAAAGACTTATGACACCAAGAAGGTGTCCTCAGGCTGCAATTCGATTGACGGGTTGGATGACACCCATGGCCAGGAGTGTCTAGTTGACATCATCCCTAACTATCACACCCGGCAATTCTGTTGCTAACAGGTATTGTTAGAAAAAGTTAAAATTTAAGTTTAAACATTATTAAAATTGCCATTTAAGAATGCATTGCCTTTAAGTATGGGTGCTGAGACACGTGAAGCGAGACGCAACCGTTGTTTCCCTGCTGGAACACCACGTGGGAAGGCAGGAAGAATGCTGGTCTCAGGTTCAGGACAAGGTCTGCGGCTGCTTATGCCTCTGAGCAAATCCTTTCACTGCTCTCAGTGTTGTGAACCCTGCCATGTGGTTTACAACTGACTGCAAGGAGCTCTCACGAGTGCATTTCAAGATAAGAGACCCTGACTGGTGCAAACAGCTAAGCATTCAGCTCTTAACTGAAAGGTAGTTGGTTTAAGTACACGTATTACTCTGGGTACTTTAGAGAAACAAATCCACAGAAACTGGTGTATAAGAGAGAGTTTTATATAAAAGTTAAGTGCACATCAAGAAAACATCACAACCCAGTGCTGCCCAAACCTACAAGTCCAACATTAACCCATTAACCCATATGTCCAACACCAATCCACAAAGTCCTCCTCCATCTCACAAAACACACACCATGATGCCGATTGCAGGAGGAAAGCCCAGTCAGTGAATGGGCTTTGCATCTCAGCGCTGCCAGGGGTCTCCACACAGCTGCCCCAGTCCCCAGGGCTGCATTGGGGTAGGTCCATGTGGCTTCTCCTCAGGGATGTCTTGCAGGAAGTGAGCCTTGCCAGCTGAAGCAGGGAACTGGCTAAGGCAGCTGCACCCTGGTCTGACCATCACAAAGCAAGAGACCAGAGAACTCGAGAGGTGAGGCTCACTGAGCCATTTATCCCTCCACCCTTCAATTAACCCCACATGTGTTTATCAGCCAGGTTACAATAAACTAACTACCTCAGTACATTTGGAAGAAAGGCCTGGCTATCTTTTTTTTTTTTTAAACCAGAAATCCAATACTTTAGAGAGTACAGTTTTATTCTAACACACAGGGTTACTTGAGTCAGCATCGACTTAATGGCACCTGGTAGGTAGGTGTTACCATCAATGGATGACCCCAGCAGACTCTCTGTACCCAAGAATCTAACATTGTGGTGGGGATTAATCATGGGTCCTTGATGTATAATAACTTGTCATTTTCCTGAAGCACACGTTTGAATTATTTTGCAAGGCACATGTGCACGAACAAGTGACTTATCTGGTGACCGTCTGTGTCTCCAAACTGACCGTGTCACTTTCTGTTAATTAGCACAGCCGCTCCCTATCAGGAAAGGCCTGCAGGAGGTTATGTAGATTTTGAAAACTTAGGCATGACTGCATTTTGCAGAAGAAATGATGGATACATGTGGCAATGCACAAAGGGCTGCAGCACCCTCCTCTGTGTATAAGGGCTCTTCAGGTCTACCAGAGACCCACACCGGATAATATGCTCTACAAATGTCACACAGGAGGACCGGAAGAGGAAAGGCTAACAGAATTGACTTTCATTAATATATAGTCCAATAGCAAATATACGGTCTAGAAGCAAAATTTAAAAATAAAATTAATTAACTAATTTGTCTTATGAAAATTAGTGGACTTCCTCAGGAAATGAACGGTCAGCAGTTTGACCTACGAGCTGTTGTGCTGAAGAAAGGCCTGGTCACGTGCTCCAGTCCTGCCTGCAGCCTTGGAAACCCTGTGGGACAGATAGTTCTGCTTTGTCAGCTGGGGGCTTACGCGGTCAGAATGCACTTGATGGCTCCTACCAACAACAATGACTATGTTTGCCCAGGGAACCTTCCTCTAAACCAGCGATGCCTCACCTGTGGGTCGTGACCACTTTGGGGGTTAAATGACCATTTCACAGGGGTCGCCCGATTCATAACAGTAGCAAAATGACAGTGATGAAGTAGCAATGAAAATAATATATGGTTGGGGGTCACCACCACATGAGGAACTGTATGAAAGAGTCACGGCATTAGGAAGGTTCAGAACCACTGCTCTAAACTCAAAGACACACAGCTATCAATTC